CCGGGGGGGTACAGCATCCCTGCCCATCCCCACCGCCAGCCCCTCTTGGACTGAGAATGGGCATTTAAGTAAAACAAGGAAAAGACCAGTTCAGGCAATGTAACTGAACTAGAGGAAAATATTAAAAAATATGAAATATACCTCTCCAGTGTCCTAGAGAAAAGTAAACTGTATAAAAATAGGATCACTCCGTGACTTCCTTCGCCTTTGAACTGGAAAAAGAAAGAAGCAATCACCGGGAAGGAATTATGGCAGGTGTATGGCAGATATAAGCAGCAATTCCGCTGCTTAAATACAGCCTCAGGTGAGTATGTTGAGCCAAACAAATAAGGTGTTATTCTGGGAAGATTTCATGACTAGTTTTGTTGAATAGGATCAGGTAAAAAAAAAGAAAGAAGAAACTTCCAGTTAAGGGCTAAACCGGTTTATGGGCCAAACACTTTTTTTCCCCCAGATTTTTGCTAAAGGTGCAAGGAACAGCATTTTATATTTGAGTAACGTACAAAGTGCTGCCCCTGTTTACCCAGCGCTTGTGGACCGAGAGTGCTGACATCGACGGTAAAGTCCTGGGGGAGCAGGATCATTTCCCGTAGGAAAGATTAGAAATGGTCCATGAACGAACCGTAGGTGAATAGTCTGTGTTCTGCTGAGGGCGACACTATTGAACTCCGTAAGGTCCACTTTTGAATGGGAAGTAAGATGTAAGCAAGCAACAAAATAACTCAGAACAAAGCAAATATCCCATACTTACACAGTTTATATGGGCAAAGATGAACTCCTGAGCTGCTGCTTTCTCGGGGAACTCAAACAGCTGGATCTGTCGGGCACGAGCGCAGGGGAAGATGTGGTAAAGGAGACATTAATGATATCAAAAAGCCGAGCATTTTAATCCAGTGTTTCCTTTAGAGAAATGAAAGAATAATGCAAGAGTCGCTCTGCCCCTTTCTGAACCGAGGAGTTCCGCTCTACACAAAGAGTTAGGGGAGCGGCTTTATGTTGACTGGTTTCTCCTTTTTGTGGGAGACGAAAGATCAGCCTTTAATGAACGGGAACGGCAGCCTCCGGACTCACCTAACGAGGAGGCAGAAGTGTTACAGGCTGCAGCTGGGACGTGGGTCTAAAGTGCCCCATAAGTTAGGGAACAGGTTTATGAGATTTTACGTTTCTTGTCTTTAAAAATTTCAGGCCTGATGGTCTTTAAAGAAAACCCTCTTTGGGGAAGACATTTTTGTACTTACTCTTTCCGTGAGGTTGTCGGGTTTGTAGTCTCCGCCGGGTGTGAGATGGAGGTCTGGGGAGAGGAGGCAGATGGCA